ACCACAATCTTCGTCCCTTCAGTGTCAGGAAGTACCCCTAACTACTAGCTCAGGTACTATCCTATGTGATATTTCTACCGGTCTTCCTCGACCCATCGTACCCTCTGCCTATCGCCGTCTCGTCTTCAATGTCCTTCATGGATTGTCTCATCCAGGTATCGCAGCCACATTACGTCTCATCGCTGCACGGTACGTCTGGCCGTCCATGAATGAAGATGTTCGTATGTGGGTAAAGCATCGCTTACAGTGTCAACGATCAAAAGTGCACAGGCACGTAGCTGCCCCCATTGGCACGTTCGCTACGCCTGATGCTCGTTTTGATCACGTTCATATAGACATTGTAGGACCATTGCCACCATCGCATGGGTATGATCACATACTCACGTGCATTGACCGTTTTACAAGATGGCCCGAAGCTATTCCCATCACGTCTATCACGGCGGAGGCAGTTGCCCACCGCTTCGTAGAACGATAGATAGCATTGTACGGTTGTCCCTCGACCGTCGCGACTGACCGAGGACAACAAATCGTGTCTGGTTTGGCCACCCATGCTCTAGTCAACGCACTCAGTCGATTATCTGGTCTCGAATTCGCCTGGCATACGCTTGGTCGTTATGGTCACGTCCGGTTTCTTGGCTCAACGTGGTTTCGTCCTACATCTGCAGCGTTTTCTGGTTCGCATCCCTACGAACGCAATCATCAAATCTTGGATACAAACCACTCTGGTGTGATATGCTAATTCGACCAACAAATACAGCACACTTCTCCTGGTACCGTTCTGCGCAAAATACTTTCGTTGGCAACTCGAGGATCAACGATCACTTCCTGTTCCGCCAATTTCCTCCGTCCTACAACCGCACTTCTGCCGGTCAGTCCCACGAATCAAACCGCTAACTATCGAAAGTGTAAACCCTTTCTAGCGGGGGGCTCCTGTAGTGACCTACTTTTGTCAACAGAACGCGATTGGTTCGATGAAAACAATTATTATTATAACCAATTGTACCAGTGATTGTTTTATTGTGCTCGTTTGTTTAACTGTGCTAATAACAGCCATTTTGGTCTTCCATTTGTACTCCATTGCTTCTACGCGGTTTTCGACTACGCACGCACCTTTTCTTGCCGATCGCATCTGTACTCCTTTGGCCCGATCTCGGTATTCTTTCGATACCACGAGATTGCCAACAAATATATTACAACTACTACTATCATCTGCCTTCTGATTTTCGGCCTACCGGAATCTTATTGGTCTATTGGCACGTAGTCTGGTAGCGGTGTTCATAGTCAAGCTCAACTTGACACCGCGCTACAGACTATTCAAGCGCGTTTATAAAATGTTTACGATCATTTACTGTACAAGTTACAAAATAGTGCAAAATGAGACATCGTGGTAGCTGCCAATATGCGTTAAAAAGAGTGGACATTATTCAGATAATAATTCCTGAACTTCTAACTTGTAAAACGTGATCACTATTTGGCAGTGTGAACTGAATTCAATTCTTACTAAGTGTAAATGGATATCGTATGAAGATCGAAATAAAATCATTTTAATTAGGTTGACGTTAATTATTACTACTAGCTATTGAACACAGAAGAGTGATTAAACAGAAATTTTAACTTAGCTCAAAATGTTTTAGTAAAATCCATTGGCAATCAAACATAGAATATAATTAAAGATATTTAGGTCATGCACAAGACACAATATCATTGAATCACTAAATTTGAACATGCAACTGCTCATATATTCAAACTTAACTAAATCATGATTCATTGTGTTGCATCATCTACTTGATTATGTCAGTATACGATATACAAGCAAGGGCACTCGAGTGTGTAAGACTTCACAGTTGTGAACCAGAAGACGGGAGCAGCAGGAGAAGTGGTTATTAGGTAAGGATAAAAAATGTACGGAAAATTATGGGTATCCATAATTATTGGTATTGGTTATAACATCCACGAGTAGGAAAGTTGCGCTATTGTCCCATTGTACCATTCCACCTTGATATTTTTCTGGGGTGCACTTGTAGCTTGACAAATGGTTTGAGGCAGCGTTACATTCTTTTTGTTGTCTTTCTTGTTCAATTTTTTATTCTCTTGTTTCTTCTAGCATTCTGTAAAGTAACCGTCATTGATATATCTGTGATCAACTTTAATGATAGATCCACGTGTCTATCTCTAGTGTGCATCATTCTTATATTCTTGTGGACTGGATTCGTGTATCTGATGCATGTCACGAAAGACCCTAAACAAAACTCTATCCAATCTTTCTGAGATTGATCCTGATACATGTCAATACTTCCCGAGGTATGAATGATGAGCATTTATCTCTCACATTGAAACTTTGGATATCCGGATTTGGTCTGTGCTATCGACTATTTTAGGTGGCAGCACAGTGTTGTAAGTAGCTCAAATACTTCCTCCAAACTTAGCTTTGGAATTGAACCTCCCACCTGAAAGAGTAGGTTTGCGGCAGTTATGATGATTAGAAATATTCTAAATGATGTGTTAATCAAGAATTCCTGAACAATGCAATTTAAAGCAGGTGGAACCAAATGAGCACGAATGAAATTATTTGATTTGCAACCAGCAACGATCATGTATAAAAAAATCCAAATTTCCGTAATGGACTGTACGTCTCCTCCTTAGGTTCATCATGTGTCTGTCCAAGTGTGTGTTGGATGTAGAGTCTCTAAGATCTAGAATACACTCATTAGTAATAGAATTAACAAAGGGAATAGGAAGGGACTCAATCAGGCCCTTGTAACGTATTCAGTCAGTGTGGTAGGCATGCATATGAACCACGGACTTATCGACCTTATTTAGTAAGCTTTTCGTGAATTTTGAAAATTCAGTTTTACTACAGTACGTAACACCAGTAGACTATAAACCTTCCATATTTGGACGAGCATGTCTTATACTTGAGCAACAGCATTAGAGAGCTTGGGAGCTTTGAGCAAATCTTCGCACCTCGAATCTGTAGTTAACAAGATATCAAGCACACTATTCAAACCATCATCAGTGATCGATAGGGAAAACTGTCCTTGAACCATCCTTATTGCATCATGATTAAATGAATTCAGCATCCCAAGTGATATGGTGGGCTTGATATTGCCAGTGTCAATAATAAAATTGTGGCTTTCGAAACTAGTACACTTCTCATGGTTCGGTAGTGGTTTTTTGAGAGTTCCATTGGCAAGTAAAACAGGCTTATCTGGAACTGTCAAGGCTTTTAGTAGGTTATTAGCATAATTTTCGAGGAATGTGAGAAAATGAGACGAAATCTTAACATCTTACCTGGTCATACTCCAGACTTTAAACCTTTACAACTAGTCCTCAAAAACTTTAGAATTTGAATATATCTCCAAATGTTCAAACACAGGCGTTATACCAATATGATGATTAAAAGTATTCTGATTATTGTACCAACTAGGGATTCTCGAAATAGTACACTTAACTGTAAATATAACTAGATTAGCACCAATTAACGTATTGTAATCCAAGGTAAATAGTCAAAACACTAGAACGACGCCATAATAAGTATTATCTTTAAAACAGGTGCACGACACAAATCTGATAACTTGTAGGTCTAATCAGGGTTATCAAAATTTTAGAAAAAAATTATCCGGAAGTAGTTATTTTAGTATTTCAATGAAAACTAGATTCTTTGTAAAGGGCAGAATGACTTTAAGATAGATTACCCATGTCTCATAAACCTATCAGTATCCCGTGAACGTCAGTGCATTTTTAAAGATCGAAATTTACCTAATGATGCAACAATCATTGACTTCAGTAAGGCTTTCAACAAAGTTTCACACAACCGTCTGTCATCTGGATTAAGTGATGCTGGGATTGGGGGCCATTTTTTATGTGAATAACGAACTTCGTAGTTGGATGTGGACAAAGAGTATGAGTGCACTTTATGTTGGCTAGCTGGGGAACTGTGCTTAGTGCAGTGCCTCAAGATACACTTTTGGCTCTGTTGTTGTTCTTACAATATGTAAATGCCCATCTTAGTCTCTTATTATTACCGATCTTGTCATATAGTGACGATATCGAGGTATGCAAAGCAATCAAAAGAAAAGGTGATAGCTCAGAGCTTCAAAATGACAGGGATGGTCTAACATTTGACCGTTGCCAATGAATGCTTTCAACTGCATTATGATACTTATTAGTCACCAAGATGCAGGTATATACACGATTTTTTGTTCAGACAAACAACAACCCAAAAGTCATCGTTAGCCAGGACATAAAAACCACTATAAATTACCGTGCCATAGAGGACGAAGGCTTCAGAGCCACATATTCGATTAGTAGAGCCGTAGCCGTTTCGGTGCCAAAAACCTTTAAACTGTAATGTTTATTAGTCCCAAACTGGAATACTGCATACAAGCGGCTAGCTCCTATCTGAGAAGAGACGAAAAGCTGTCGGAAAATGTTCAAAGAACCACAACAAAGCTGTTCCCCGGATTCCTAGAGCTCCTGTATGAAACCAAATATATTCCCCTTGTCATAGACAAGGACCAGATCATAGTTTTTCAACTATCGAATAGTGAGTAAACATCTGATATGGCATCAGTTTTCCTGTCTCTCAAAATAGACTATTCATGACAACACTTAGAAAACTTTACAGGTCTAGAACAAACTAATTGTCAGCTGACTATGGAGTTCCCCATAGAATCATCAACAAAAAGAATTCATCACCAAAACGTTATTAGAACCCTATCTATCGGCACTTTCAAAGGAAATTTGACCTCCGTTGTCAGGACTAACACACTTACAAGCCTTTTATCGTCCTCAAATTAAAACAGAAACTTTTCAGCGCAGATTATAAAAATTGGTTCACTACAAGCTTATTTTTTACAATGATCAACATTAGCTTGTCGTATCTCCCTTATTGTCTCTGCAGTTTTAATTAAATTCGTCACTGTGACGTTGAATGTTCTATTGTTTGACTAGTCCGTCCTTCGTTATATTAAAGGCTATTTTGTTGTGTATCCGAGTTACTAAAGACGCGTGTGTTTAAAAACGTGTCCAGTAGCGGGTCGAACTGTTTGCTTCAAGTTTCTCTTCTAAGAGTGTTTAAATTTGAGACCTATTCTGCCTCTAGTTGTTGTCTATTGGTTTCTTAATTAAGTGTAAGTGCACTGTGAACTCTGTCTGGGTTTTCGAGAAAGAAAGTTGTGTACACAACACGTGTTCTGATTGCACTTTGACACTTTATCATACATATATATTTCATTTTCATCAAAGCATACCTGTTCAAGTTCCTACGTTGTTTCCTACCAACTAAACATTATTATTCAATGAATAGTAATTCCGTTTGAGTTTTAATTATTTTGCACTTCCCAAGCAAATCCCCTAGAAACTTTTCCCTGAAGTATTGCTTCCTAAGCCTGTTTCAAGTCAAAGGCCAACCTTGAATGAAGTTGGAACCAGCTTCGAATAAACGAAACGCAGGACAAAGCACAGTACGTTCAACTTAATTTCAACGAAGTCGCATTTTTGCAAATTTAGCGTTTAGTTATTTCCAAAAAATTATCTACTTATTATTTAGAGCCATTTATTTATTACAGCTTGACTCTTTTATCCTGAGATGAATAAGTTTACATTTTTCCATCCATCGCATAGACGGTTTTTTCCCAAAATTAAAACAAAAAGTATTCAGGTAGTTTCGTGAAAAATGTATATTTCAAAGTTAGGTCCATCATGGAGTAAAGTGGGGCAAGTTCATTGAATTGTAAAGCATGGACACTTATTTTCTAATTCATTAACCTAAAGATGTCGTTTTGGCTGTAAGATTCAAAGGTTCTAGTTCAGTTCAACATTACGCACTACTGCGTACTGTGTAAATCCCTAGCTAGAACGAAGCAAAATCTTATTGCCGTCAGATTTGGAACGATTCTTTATATGATGTCATTTAACTATAAAACATCTAAAATTCACTTACATTTCTGTTTTTTATGCATAATTACTTTCCAGACAGTGATAAATAGCTTGAGACTTTAAAAATATATACATAGGTTAAAATTAAAACATGGATGGTGAAGAAATCGAAACGATAATCTAAATGTCATGACTAAACATAAAGAATATAATTTGAAATGAACGAATAAAATCAAAGAATGAGAAACTCGTTATCTAAAGTAAGATTTATAGTGAACACATCTGCAGTGCAATTAATTCAATCCCATATCACTCAAGGTTTTTAACCATAAACTAATTTACCATTGCGGCTTTGAACCAAGCAGTCTACGTGTGTAATAGCTGTTTATTTATTTCATAATGAAAATAGTGAGTATTTATTAGTCCGAATGGTTCTTTAATACAAATTGTAGAGTAGTTAATTTTACATTTTAATAATCATTGCTAATTATTAAAATACTTTTCTCTATATTATTTTTTATGGAAATTGGTCCTTGTAAAGTAAAACTTATGTTTCACAGCATGATTGAGTGGTAGACTGAATTCCATAAAGTTTTGATCCCTTAGTAGAATGGTTCAGTCGGTAAAATTTTATTATTCCTTCCTTTGATAAACCACTGTCTAATCCAGGTCGCAATAACCTCTTCAAATTATTCCATAAGTTTCAAATTAGTATATTTTCATGAAGTGATATGTGACTAATTTTCTCCAAAGATTTTGTATTCTTCATGTAATCTGTGCTGTTTCTTTATTTTTACAACTTATCAAAGAATCCACCTAAGTCTGACATAACCAGAACAATTACAACAAATTTATGTGGTTGGAGTGAACAGAATGCTTTTGATTCAGTATGTCATAAACCCGCTTGTCGAACAACTGGTTCTAATGTTATGGGAGGTGTAGGATGTGGAAAATCCGAAAGATTCTCTTATCAGAAACCAACAAAAATTGGTAAACAGTACAAATTCTATCATTATGATGATCCACATGCTTACATACTTCAATATAGACGGGATTGTACGTTGAATTCTAATTCGAAAGATCATGACCAAGACAAGGGACCAGTAGAACAATTCAATAAATCGATAGTTGTTGAAATGGATGATATAAAAAATTACAATGTAAGAAATTTTTTTATTCTATTCATGATACAAAATTGCCTCATATCATACTGTGAAAATACAATTTTCTAGTCAGGAGAATGATTTATTTACGGAGCTAAGTTACTAATGTACGATCATGAAGTTCTGATTGTCAGTGTACAGTTAGTACAACAAAATAGGTATCTGATCCTCACCCTTTTTTAAAACATTTTACAACGTGACAAACCATTCATCTTCTTTGTTATACCTAAAATATAATATCAACCTTGATCACGGAGATGATGTATTCATTCTTTATATTTTCTAAAATATTGCACGCTAGTATTTTAGTCCGTCTTTTAACAGACTGGATCACTGATCTTTTGTATGTCTCTTTAAGCTTAAAATTTAGTCCACAGCTATTTTTACTCTGAATAACGCACAGTTATAACACTACAGCCAACTTCATTGAGAACTGAAATGATCAAGATTAATGAACTGATAGATTATTTTCAACCCTCATTCTTAAATAACAACCAGACGAATTCCAAAATCATGTGATTATTAATCGTTTACCGTAATATTTATAGTACAATTGAAACGTTCTTTACTGAAAAATCATTAACTTGCTAAACGATAACTGATTTCATATATTTTTATTATCACCTTTCCTGTTAATTAACAAAATACACGTATGTATAAAACTTTACATGGAAATATATTTGCTTTTCTAGAAAATATCAAAAAGTATCTTTCAAAATGACCTATCTTCATTTGCTTATCATATGAGGTGTAACAGAATCAAATGAAATGTTATCACAATAAGTTATTAACTTTTGTTAAAGTATTGTGCCAGTTTCTGGGCAGATTCACTGTTTTTGTTCTATGAAGTGTCAAATTCAACAGTGATCAAACAAACTCTACTGCTTTATATCTTAGTTATAATATTCTTTTAGTCTTCATTTCTCTTTCGACTAAAATTCATTAGAGATAAATGTTTGATTTTAGCATTCAGAGAAGTCTGATATCATTCAGATAAACAATCAAAGTTTTTCTGAACAATCATATCTTAAATCAACGTGCACAGAAACAACAACAACAACAACAACAAATAGTTTTCAACCTCAGTTGTCTGAAATAAAATTGAAACCTACTAAGTCAACATTAAATGTTACTACTACTACTACTGCTACTACTACCACTATGTCTGGGAATCGTCATTTATGGGTGAATAATTGTCCTACTGGTCTAGGTCGTAATAATCATATGAATAAAGTTTCTAATGCAGATATCAGGTTAGTTTTAATTTAATTATTTATAACAGACGCATTTTTTCCTTCATTCAGAAAGCAGAGTTCAATGAGCTACTTATTAAAAGTTACATAATCTAGTTTCCCATTAGTAATAATACCTCAGTCATTATTTTATAACGAGATATAATTCTCTGTTGACAAATTATAGGATACTTTACTTTTAAATGAAAATGCATTGTAACTAATAATTATAAGTCAGAAACTTCATTTCATTGGGCTATTTGCAAGCTTTCTATCCTCAATATCATATACTCAAGGGAGTTATCACGTTATCTTGGATTTGATTAATAATAGTAGTTGGTTATTGGTTTAACAGGACGGTATCATCCTTAAATTTCATCTCTCATCGATAAAAAAGGTTAATAATTCCATGAGTAGTTTAGACCTTATGTTCTTGTTGGTATTATCACATTCGATAAACAATTTTAGCTAATTTCTCTTAGAAGAGTTATCTTTTTTTTCATCTCGTTAAACTGACCGTTAATCTTGTGATTAATCAATCATATCTACATCAATTAATATAATGGACTGATAGTGATGATGATGATGATTACGATGATCCGAAATTAACGATTTTAGTTCAACAGACTTAACATCCATCAAAATCATTCATATGAATTACGAATCACAATTTCACACTTTCTTATATATGAAACTGTTATAGCTTGTGGCCTGTTAATATATCACGAAATAATATCATCAATTAGAGATATCAACTTATACAACCAGACTAATGACACATAAACCTGTAGGAGTAGCTGAGAGTTCTTATTAATCCTTTAAAATAGTAGCTTCCTACCTAACCCAGCCAGTTCAGTCCAGAACTCAAATATCAGCCTCCATTATATGATGCATATAATTTAAACATACTAGGTTTACATACAAACGAACCAAACCAGCCAAAAACTGCCTGTGATTGTGAAATACTGTTACTTATAAATTGAGAATAACTTAGGAATAGTTAAACGTGTAACAGTAGTCAATAGGTCAAACAGAAGCTTGTAACACAAGGAATATGAATATACATATAATATAGTTACTTAATGGTTATACAATAAGAATATTCGTATAACATTAGTCCATAAATAGATCCTAGCGGTTGCTATTCACTTATTCTTTGTTCGGATATAAGAAAAAACAAACTAGTAAACTGTATTGATAAGTTCATACATAATTCATTCACTTATTCTTCATTTATGTTTCATTTCTTCTTTAAAGCATTATACATGGTAATCAAATAAAACAAAAATCAACTAAAAAAGAGTCAATCATTGTAAGTTTTTATAATTTTATTTTATTTACATAATTTTTGGTATCAAATTTAATTTCAGTAGTTGAGATCATGAGTCAATTGAAACTAGACCACCATGGAAAACCTGGAAGCACTGGACGATCGTTTCGTCCCATTGTGTGACTCCTCAGCAGTGAATTTAGACATTAACAGCGTCGGATGTCAGCTCAGTGGTCTAGAGGATAAGAGCTTGCGCGTGTGGGACTGGCAGGTCCTAGGTGCGAATCTCGCGGAGGGCGGGACTGTGGATGCGTATTGCTAAGGAGTCTCAAATTAGGACGAAACGGCCGTCTAGTGTTTCCAGGTTTTCCATGGTAGTCTAGCTTCAATGGACTCATAATTTCAACCATTGAAATTGCCATAATATCCACAAAAACCCCTTCTGATAATGAAAAATATAAATGAGAGAAATTTTTTAAAATTGTAATACTCAAGTTATCGTTCCAATTTAAACTTCTATCATTCCTTAGTTGTATACTTGATTGATAGTTGTTTTAAAAGTATCAGTTCAGTGTCACTAAGGCTAATGAATGAAAAAAACAACCATTTACAAGTAATAACTTTATACGAAATAGAGTAATTCAGAATCGGTTAATATGCGTTTACTACTTTTGGTACAAACATTTCAATATTTCAATAAATGCACAACAGTTAATTGCACCACGCTTCATCATTCGTTTTGTGTGGGCTTGAATACAGACCGGGTGCTCAGACAGAAGTATATGGTTTTCTTAAGGGGCTATACCCGAAGCCTTTGACTTAAAGGTCTGATCCACAAGACAGTAGAGCAACGTAAGGAGATTCAATCCAATGGTAACCGTTGACCAATAACTAGTTCATACGCCATTTGTTTCCTCAGGATCCCGGAGGCCATATGCATGATTGGTTTTTAATCACGGTTTTACAACTCCCCTAGGGACACCCTCCGTGTCGATCAACCCGGTCAAAACACTGTACATTTGCTTTTCGTCGTTTCAGTTCCTTAAACAACACCCGTAGTGCGAGAAAGCAGTGAGTAGGACTTGCGTGGCTGCGTCTGTATACGTATGTCCATGTGAGAACATTTAAACAGGGATAGCTGACAGTTCTGTTCTATTCAGCCTAGTTATTACAAACGGGTCATATAGCTAATATGAACGAATCATTTACAATGATTATTATCGTGTTAATAGTTATTTGTCTATGTCTGATTATTTCATTCACCGAATATTCTAATTATTAATCCCAAAGTTTCAACTGATCTACAAATTTATTCAGGTTAACCTTATACATTCATCATTTCATCATTAACAATGTTCATAGATCAAATCATGAACTAATGTGGTGTATGCTACTAATGTAGACAGTGGGAACATGATTATTATTGTATACGGAGGATTGCGGCGATTGTAAAACATTTATCAATTAAATTATAAACTGAAAAGCTGTAAACAGTGGAGTTTAACTCATTCAGGTGTCAGAGAGTTATCTACCTAACCCTACAGTCTTTGGAAATAAACCGTTCTCACTTAACACCGATCATAGGTTCGATCTATTGTGGTAGAGTTCGTGAATGAGCACTACTAATGAAAGGCTATATCCTAGGCTGAAACAACTATTTGAAATCAGTTATTGATTTAAACTATGAAAATTTCAGTCTGCACAGACCCCCATGTAAAATTACACTCGTATTTTACTACAACATTAATCTTAAAATCATATGGTGTAGTTTTAAAAAATATATTTGCCCTAAATGTGGCTGACTATTGGAATATGAAATTGAATTGATCACTGTAGAACCTGATGAGAACTTATTAAAAAGAATACACCACATTCACACATCTGTGTTTTGTATAAGTGACATTGTTCTCAGGAATATCACCGTTTGTTTCGTCAACGCAAACGTTGAATCAAAGTTGACACCTCTAAACAATACACCTTCCACAAAGTTACTAAATGCCTTGGATGCATTTTATATTACACAAGCTCATATAGTAGGTATTCAGAAAACAATAGTAGTTAATATGTTCATTGAATTCTTTTTATAATTCTCAACAGTGTAAATGATTTGTGTTGACGAAATGTTAACTGAATTTTTCCCCAAACTAAATATCAAGTCACTCAATGTCCGAATTGTTCAATGTAATAATCTGCAAATATTGAATCTAGATTTAAAATACAATTTTGACTGTCGGTCGCGCAATAAAGAAATTTCGTTTAGTATACTATTATTAAAGAATCTACAATACGGATTTGTAAAATGTGGGTTTGCTGAACAAGTAGTTAGGAGAAACGATATCATATAAATGCAAAGACACAAGGGTGAGAATACATTGATCGGATGCAGGAGCCCCTCTGTTAACTCACATCACTATTAAAGGTATAACAAAACTCAAATCGTCATTCCAGTTATATGTAAATTAGAACCTAGGACATGTGCATCGGTTCCAGTTATTACAAACCAGCACATCAAGATAGAGTAGTAGAAGTAGCTACAGTATTGGTAGTAAAGTAAAAGATCAGCCAATGAAGATGTCGTTTAAAAAGGGAATATAAATTCGTGGAATAAAACAGTATAATCTAATTTTGAAACCCGGATCTAAAGTATGAATACATTTCCATCATTATGACCAATTCTGAGTTAATTTATCTATCTCTAACCATTAGTTACGATAATCGTGCCGACTCCAAATCAAATAGTCTGTATAAATCTATGTTAGCTCAAGCTAGCCCTCCTATCCCATACACACGAACAAATGCAGATAAAGAAAACTAGTGTAGCAGCAGTCTCTGCATCAGTAGGCCTCAACATTAACAAGGGAAAAAGAAAGAACCTCAAATACTACACGGAGTCACTAACCCAATCACACTTAATGGCGAAACTCTGGAAGATAGGGAATCCTTCACGTACCTGGAAAATATCATCGATAAACAAGAAGGATCGGATGCAGATGTAAAGGCGAGTATTGGCAAATCAAGGACAGCATTCCTGCAGTTGAATAAAATATGGAACTCAAAACAACTGTCAACCAATATCAAAGTCAGAATCTTCAACACGAACGTCAAGACAGTTCCACTGCACGGAGCTGAAACATGAAGAACTACTACTAACATCGTCAAGAAGGTAGAAGTATTTATAAATAGTTGTCTACACAATATACTCACTATCCATTGGCCGGATACCATCACCAATAGCCTAGTGTAGGAGAGAACAAACCAGCATTCAGCTCGAGAAGAAATTAGAAAAAGACAATAGAAGTGGATAGGATATACATTATGGAAACCACCAAACTGCATCACGAGACAAGCACTAACTTGGGATCCTGAAGTGAAGCGGAAAAGAGGAAGGCCAAAGAACACATTACATCAGGACATAGAAGCAGATATGAAAAGGATGAATAATAACTGGAAAGACCTTAAAAGGATGGTTCAGGACAGTGTTGGATGGAGAATGCTGGTGGGCGCTCTATTCTCCTCCACGAGGAGTAACAACAGTAAGTAAGTAAATAAGTAAACTTAAACTACTATACAATATCACCACAATAGAATGAAATTAAAAACATTCCCACTAAATGAATTAAAGTGATTATACTAGTAATTATTAGCCAGAAAAGCTTAATATTGAGAATAGAATTAAAGATGCCATAAAGAGATAATGTTTCTAAAGTTGAAACTGATTTGTATATAAGAAACAATTTCAATGGTGTAAGGTCACAGATAAAGTTTAACTTTTATTAAAATTATACCAATGTCATTTTGATAAATCGTTCAACAAGAGAAATGATTATTTATCTATAGAATATATTAAGAATTATTAATCACTATGCTAACAAACTTACCTATTTGTTGTCATACATTACACCACCACCCCCTTCCCCCCCCCACACACACATACAAAAAAAGAAGTCACATAACATCTATTCAAGTCAATCTACATCAGGAAAATTCTCTGATAAAACTGATCTAAGTTTGAATGGATCACATCATCTATCTGTTCTACGTATAAAAAGTGCAACAAAACTGAATGTAGAACCTACTAAATATGTAACCAATACTCAACAAACAATTCGTGATGCAAGTCATCCTGAATTTTGGCCTTTATTATATAAGAAATTGATTCATTTACAAGCTGAACGTGCAAATCAAACTGAAGAAGAGTAATAATTCCAAAAAAATGTATGTGTTATTGTTTATTAATTTTAAATATTTCGAATAGTTACCGTAGCTACTACCGTAACGTGTGGGTCGGGCTTGTCCAACACCATTTTTCTTTAACTTTGTCGCTGACGTGATTTTAGAGATAACACTCCTCATTTACATTTCCAGGAGTTGAACTTTTACTGTGGGATTCACTTATTGACTTAGAATATACCAGTGACATAGTTGTATTTGGTGAAGATGCTGACCACTTTAAGCAACGATGCAAGCATGTTCGGTATGCGATTCTCCCCCCTCGAAAGGCAAAATGTTACTTCAGGAATGGGTTGCATCGACACCAGTACTAATGATAGGGAGTAAAATAGCTGAGCGTGTCGACCGCTTCACTTATCTTGGGGGTCTCATCAACCTTTATGGTCTGGTGTTTGACGAAATCTCAGCACGGATACAGAAGGTTCGACTAGCTTTCGCCAACTTGCGTCATTTATGGCGTAGGCTAGATATCCGTCTACCAACCAAAGGATGGGTTTACTGAGCAGCAGTTTGTTCCGTCCTACTTTATGACTGTGAAACATGGCCGGTAATAGTAGAGAATAATCGTAGGCTACTAGTATTCGATCATAGGTGTCTTAGAAGTATTGTTCGTATATCCTGGGACCACCGAGTAACTAATGAAATTGTCAGGAAACGGGTACTAGTTAAGGATGGCAAATCAATTGATGAAGTAGTGATACTTCATCAGTTGAGATGGCTGGGACATGTGTTACGTATGCCAAACTACCGACTGCCCCGACGTGCGATGTTTTATGGCGTAGGATTAGGTTGGAAGCAAACTAGGGGCAGCCACACCAAAACATGGCACTCTAATGACCATGGATTCGCACTAGAACTTTAGGAAACCATTTACTAGTAGGCACACTTAAATATAAAAATTTATGAGTGCAATCTAACTCCTCATCAATCTTATACACTAATACTGTTACATCAACTGCAGTTAACAACATAAACCGATAGCAGATCAAAAACAAGACCTGAAAATGTACAAGTGATGTAAATGTATATGAAATATGACCACTCAACAGATACAATTATGATTACGTAATATATAGAAGAATAATTAGAGATTGGTTCCATAATTATAATTAATTTGTATCATAAATAAATGATTGATTTTTTGTGTCTATTAGGTTGAACATGTGAAGCATATGAACAAAGAAAACCCAACTATTTTTCTATGACTACTACTATTATCATCAATGATAACATTTATTCAACTATAAATGAAATAAAATAATTTGATGATTTGAATTATTTGTCTTCAATCAACTTTTACAAGCATTCCTCATTGAACTACTTACGGGATGAGGTCGCTAACCTCATACCCAACCCTCCTCCTTTACTCGGGCTTGGGACTGGCAGTAACTCTGGAAGAGCTTCAGGCGAAGTTCTCGTCATTGAATGATAATAATTAAAACAATGATGATTCTTATCAGTATGGTTTGACCATATATTAATTACTTACGCCTGTTATTCCTAGTTGAGCATTCTCCAACCCACTCTGTCCTGGACCTTCCTTTCTAGTTATAAACAATTGTTGTTCATTCTCATGTCTGTTCCCATTTCTCAGTGTAATGCGTTCTTCAGTCTTCCCCTCCTCCTTTAGCCTTGAGGATTTCAATTTAGGGCTTGCCTTATGACCACATACAATCATTCTATTCATTATGGATATAGTTTAGACATTACAGAGACATAAAAAAATATAATATGACCGAGGATATTTTAATATAATTATTGGAATCGATGTGTAATGATTAGATAGGAGTTGGCAACAAATTTAGTAGCTACTCCGCCCACCACCACCAAAAGAATCTAAGATTTTAGGGAGTTGTGTAGTATAAGAAATCAACAATTGGCCTTATCTCTGTGACAGATTAATACTTAATGCAAATGCTACTACTCTTTGTGTACATTTAACTCACTTAAAATTATGATGAAAAGATGACTTGTGTTGATCTGGTCCAAAAACAGAATAAGTTGTTCAATAAATTCATTCTGACCACGTAACAGGACGAATAAAAAAACAAAGTAGAGGATTTTCTGCCCCGCTTACCAACGATCTAATACTGTGGTTTCAAATTCGACCACTTCCTAGTGGGATATTGACTTGGAATACAGTCGTGCCTGGACTAGACTATGTATATGACTAACACACAACCAGAAATTTAAATTCATGTATACATTACGAAGGTAGATACCGGAAATATATTTATCTTTCGTGAGATGATTAGTACTTAATCCAATACAATAATCGCTTAAGCTCCTATAACCATCATATGGACTAAACCCGACCGTTTTTGTAACCTTGAAAAGGTGGTCGGACTTGCCTATCGTGACGAACCATTCGAGCTATACTGGCTGGAAAAATCGTTCCTCAAGGTCGTACCACGTCAGACAGGTCGGTTGAAGAGCGATAAGACTAAAACCAGGAAACTCAAAGTCCGAAGTCGTACTGCTGGCTGTACAGAGGTGTGACGGCAGTAAGATGTTTCCTTCAGACAACCAGTATGCTGCCTTCCCACAAGCAGGGGTGGAATTAGAAAAGGTCGACCCTAAAAATTCACACCTTGCCTTATCCCATGGATATCCGTCTCCGGTGGTAAGGTCTCAACAAGTACGGAGCTAACGCGAACATTACCCACAAAAAGGTTGTGTGTGACCGACCCCAAGCAGTTGTCCCTTGGGCACTGTGGTCGAGCTCTCAGGTCATTAAGACCACCTCTAACCCAATCTCCTTTTCATGTACCCTTACAAGAACCCTTCCACCGTATGGGCAGCCGGGATGTGATAATCGCCCTCATACCTCTAACAGCACTTTGTATATAGACTAAAAGTTGGGATAGAATTATCAATGAAGACTCAACAAAAGGTTCAGAACAGAAGTAATGCCAATATCCACTGTCTTTGTGGAAAGATAATGAAAACCAATTGATTTCCGTATGCCCAAGTCTTAATGTTAGTGAACAATTCAAGACCTTCAGTAGCATCAAGTGAACACATCACAAAATGTAAAACCTAACTAGTAAGTGCTATACACGAAACATATTAGTTAATTAACATTCATTGAGGACTATAAGAAAGGTTTACAATTATTCTGTTGTATATATGGGACTGTAAACTTTTGGATAGGAGTTTTGGAAACTTTTAGTCTTTCGAGTCTCATGATCTCATTAAATATTATCGATTTCCATTGTCATTTGATAAACCAGACCACTAGTATGTACGTACTAGCTTTGAGCTACATTGTAGGTAGAGTTATTAGTAATATCTGGCTACGTAAATAAATGTACTGAAAACGCGGTTCAGATTAGGGGCCTAATAGTTGAGAGTTGGTTGCTATAACCGTTAAGTCATTCACTTTAACCATTCAAGTGTATAGATACGTTGTGACTAGGAGTAGAAACGAAGATGCCAGTTCCATCCTATTTTAGCCAGAGATGATGTTCGACCCATGACTCACAACCAACACCTTTTGCTTCAAACTTGTATTATCCACTTAACTACTGAGTTCAAATAGCTACTGGCTTGTGAAATGAGGTGAAGCTTAACTCGTCTGTATTCGTTATTTAAATCTTTCCGAACAGTACTGAGTTCGAATCCAAGATTGAACATCAACTCTGGGATGCAGGTACATCCAGTAGAACAGTTCTGAATTCTACTGCTAGCCATTATTCGTCTCTACTTAAAAATACATATAACTTAGCGTCAATATCGTGAGAATCTGTACAGGATGTGCATATGCCGAAAGACTGAGATCAATCGCAGTCATGAATATCGATAAGAAGATTCAAAAAGCCAGTGCAAATAAAGTATTAAGTGTATAGTTCACCGTCAATCTACAAACTAATAGATAAATCTTCATTACTCTCTTGTCTCATAGACCAAATACTCTTTTTTTTCCAAGAAAAAAAAATCAATAAACGAAGGGATAATATTATTGATTATTTGGTCAAAACCATATATAAAAACAGAACAAAGAAAATGAAAACCCCATTACAATAATCCAAATCACAGATGATCAGGCAAATTGAATAACAAAGTCAATTGATACACACACACACACACACACATAACATCGAATAGACTGAAGTAGAAGAAGAATAAGAAGACGAAATTATCAATTTAACTAATTTCGTATTTTTCCGTATGAAAATTGGATTCATATGAAAAGTTGATCGGAGTGTCCTGATTGCTTACAGTAGCTTCTATTATCTATAAATCAATAAAAATACAATGATATAATGTAACTAATTATATTTAACAAGACAGAATATGGTATACTAACAATGAAACAGTAACTTGATAGCTGAAGTGTTCCACTTTTTGTGTCACCGTTTTAAACTTTGATATCATCAACTTTAATTATAACAAACAGATTGTAGTATTATTAGCCTTCATACTTAAGAAAATGTATAATCCTATGCCGAGTACATAAACTTTAAAAGCTGGATAATAAATAATGAGTTATATTAGTAATTCAGGAAATATTTTACCATAAAATAGAAAAGATGGATAGTGGCTAGCAGTGGAATAAAGAACGTACGTTTCGTCTTATTTAGGACTCGTCAGCTGGATGGCGTTTGGAGCGAACGATACTGGGTTCGAGTCCTGGGGTGAACATCAACTCTGGGATGCAAACACATCCAGCTAACGAGTTCCAAATAAGATGAAACGCGCATCCTGGATTTCACTACTAGCCACCACCCATCTTTGCTTATAATGCTTGTGACTTAAGATAACATCAAGGCAATCCGCACAGGATGCACATATGCCAATAAGAGACTGATCAATTGCAGTCCTAAACATCAATGGGAAGATACAAACAAACAATACAAAATGAACATAAACTGGCAGATTAAAAGGGCAATTTGCAAGAAAGATAATGAGTCGGTTTTCAGGTCACTTATGTTTGTATACAAAGAAATATATAACCTATTAGCTATTCAGTAGTTACAATTCATGGGCAAAGCAAACCCATACTGTTCACGACATGAAGTACAATGTTTCCAATGAGGAAACAGCAGTAGTCATTCCGATACATTTTTACAATGTACTCACTACCCTAATCATTATTAGCTGAATGCCCTGGCATGACCGAGGGTAAGAAGAGTTCACACTCCCTCCGCAAATGTGTATTTAGCCACTAGCAGTGAAGTATTACTAAATACCTTCTCGTACCCGGTGTTGTTTATCATATCGAGAGGACCAAAGGTGAATGTCCAACGAGGGCTTAAACCCGGTTCCTCCACTGTCTTAAGGATTAGACCTCTGAGTTAAAGGCTCGGGAGGTGGGCCTCTTAGAAGACCACTTACTTCGGTTTGGACACTCGGGAAGTATTCCAGCCGACACAATAATCTAATGATTTTTGTGTCGCATATATATTTTGGTACCCCTTTGTACTAATGTTTATAATAATATCTTTACATCTCTACACATATAATCAACAATATGCGTAGACAACTTGCGGTCAAGAAAATTTTAGTCGTACGATAATTATATTCGCAAACCAAAGCTAACTAAATAACTTCTAACACTTTCAGTCAGTCAGTCGCAACGTAGAACTTGGCACGTGTATACAACGGTCCCAGTTGACATCAATCATTAGCACAACGAGATGGAATTGTTAGGCCAAATCTGAGAAAAATATAGGTAGTGACAGTATAATTGATGATAGGAAAGATTAGGCATCGAAGACGCAATTTGAAAAAAAAATATAATTTACTGGAATAACAAAGAATAGATGCACCTGCACTATTGCAAACACCACTAGTTACGATAATCACTCAGACCCCAAACTGGTGGTCTGCACCTATTAACATGCTTCAATCTAACTGTCAATGACTTTATGAGCTGATGCTATGCTATAGCTTGATTCCTCTTAAATCATACAAGACACATGTAAACATGTATTACCTGAATTCCACAGTACGATTTATTTGATCCAAAGTTTAATTTCAACGGGAAAAATTGTTCTGCTTGTGCACCACGTTCTGTTTTTAATGTGAATTCAAGGGAACCAGATGAATTATCACTGTTAACTATGGGTATACGCCAGTCTAATTGAGTTTTACGTGGACTCAATTCATATTCCCCATCACAATTACCAATTAATGGAGGTTTAGCTGAAGGACTTCAATAATAAAATAAATACAAACGAATATTATATGAAGTCAAGTAAACAAATAAGGCGATTAATACAGTGAAATGAAAAATAAATTTCATATATCAACAGATATACATGAAAAATTGTTGTCTATGTACTTTGGAATCAGTTGAATTACAACTCATAGAAAAGAATAAACTACATAGAAGATGGTACAAATGTTTGTCCGTTCAGACTTCCTCATATTTCACAATAACACAACTCTAAGTAAACCAAACAATAAATCAATCATCTACAACGCAGGAACAGCCACATATATGCATCAGTTCAAGTTGCTATCCCTCATTAGCACGACAGGATGAATACTAAACTCATAGAAGCAGTTACTTTAATGGTAGAAATATATATATATATATATATATATATATATATATATATATATATATATATATATAAGACTGCATATAAGGATGTAATGCAGGAAGAAAGAATTAGTTCATAGAAAGAAAGGTATAAGGTAATTTTAATCTCATGGTTTAAGGGAAGATAACGAGTGTATACTAGTACGCCATTGTCATCGATTCTGAGCCACATCAGTCAGTCTCCAACCATTGGTTACGGTAATTACACGGACCCTAACCTAGTAGTCTGCATTTACCAACATGACTTTAAGAACTGATGTCACGTTTTAATTTGGCCGCCCATAAATTTCTTCCAACCGTCTCTAACACTAGTCAGAATTGCACGTCGTCTTAATTGGTGTTCAATGATAAGTAACACGTGACCCAACCATCTCAGTCGATGAAGATTTACAACCTCATCAACTGATTCACCATCATTCCCTAATACCCTGCGTCTAACCTCGCTATTACTTACCCGATGATCCCAGCAATATTTCTAAGACGTCTGTGATCAAATACTAGTAATTTGCGAGTATCTTCTACTGTTAATGGCCACGTTTCGCAGCCGTAAAGTAAAACTGGACGAATTAACAATAAGGCAAGTAGGGAAACAAAGATAATATTAATGTCGGTAAGAGTTAAAATTAAAATTAATGAATGGAGAACACGAAATAATAGTATGGTTAAAAATAAAAAGGACAAATGTACATAAAGCACTGTGTCTGACTTAAAATCATGTCATCAAACAGATTACAGTTATTGCATAAATGTGTAATATGCAATTATAAAGCCTTTTGGATTCTTAAAAGTCCTCCATAAACTAATTCTATATCTTAGTTTAGCATTATTTCAATCTATTATTTACGCTAACCAGAACACCACGTCAAAGTAAAAGGTGATTAGGCGTAAGGAACACAGCTAATTAGTCATAACTAGTGTGAAGCCAGGTATGATTAAGTATTGGGACAAGCTGTCACAGAACACATCAGCACAACAAGATAAACAGTAAAGAAGTCAAAATAATCATAACAGTAATAACAGTTACGGAGGCCAAATATTAAGAATATGGTTCAAGAAGATAGAATGAAAAGGTATGATTTCATAAACACTGGAACTTAAAATATAAAGGACAATAAAGTAATGCGTGTGTCTGAACTACTGTGACCAATTCTGAGCTATGTCACTCAATGTCTGAAGCCACTAGTCATGATAATTGCGCGGAGCTCAACCAGATGGTCTCCATTTAACAACATGGTTCAGTCAAACCGTCAATAATTATGTGGACTGATATTACTTCTCAGTTTCAGCTCTCCTACATTTCTTCTAAACTACTACATTAGCTAACAATGCAAGTCGAAATATGCTGTGGTAGGCGATATGTAACATACACCGAACCATTCTAGCTGAAGATTCACAGCTTCAAAAGACAACTATTACTATGGTTTTAACATTCGGACTGATAACTTTCTTGTTCCACTGTAAATGAGCAATGCTTTAAAGACAATTACCGTCAACTGTTAGTCAACTACAACTGGAATTCTCCATTAAACGCCAAACTTCATATTCCTGAAGAAATAAACGACAATATACTGAGCAGTAAAATTGCTTTGATACGACCAGACAGAAATCACATCCATGCCAAACGTAAAATAATTTAGTAAACCCAAATAGTACTGTTCCTTGTATTTGTCTCAAGATTAAGTCAGTTGTCAATCCAATAAGTTGAATGAGACACCCATAAAATTAGTGAAATGATTGACAAGATCAACAATCTCACCACATACTTTAAAACTGGAAAAACATACAGATCAGTTCACAACACAACATTTCATGTTTATGTACGAGGAACAAATTTCAAGAAAATAATTTTATTCCTTTATCGACTGGATCAATAATCAACTGATAACTTTGATAGACTTGACTGATCAAGTTATCCAATATACTAAAATAAGATTCATAAGAAGAAGAAAGTTTTCACCAAAGATGTGTTTAGTGGTCCATAAAACTAACTTACGGCAATGGTATTGACATAACTAGATTCTCCAATTCTAATAAAGAATCTTGTAATTCATATTCAACATTTACTTCAAAGCCACCGGGTATTTCATTTGGCCAACAATTAACTAGAATGAAGACAGTAAAAAAAATCGTAATTACGAAAAGAGTTACAGTTTACAATGCAATTCTTTGTTAGGAAAAACACAAGAGACGTCGTCCACATCCCAAAACTGAAGTAGACAGAGGGATGGTTTAATTCTCAAAAAACATTTAGTTTTCAAACAGCTCTATACCTTACCCTGCCTGCTATGATTTGAGTTAGCGAGAGATATTACCAGTCTCCCAAACACACGTGTCCAAAACTGAGTACACGAATCTATAATTTGTATGGAATTTATTATCACTATCATTATTAGGTGGAGAAAAGTTTGAATATGTTCCATATAATTTTAGAATTTTATAAGACTCATTTGTGTTCTAAGCTTTGAGTCGTACCCGATTAATCGAACCAAAGAAAACAGAACGATATTTAGATATGCCGAAACCCTAACTGATTTTAAAGCTAAGCACTATTGAACTCTTCACTTACACAAGTTTATAAAAGTGTTCCGATGAAGATTTACGGTTGTATAATTTGAAAAACTGACTTATAAAACAGTAGATAATGTTTCAGTTTCCGACAGATTGACTTTACATCATATCACTTACGATCTTAAAATATAGATTATATATTGCTAGGGAACCTTAAATCAGGAAGTCTGTATTTGAATGTGGTTCAATAGCCTTGTAAATAATATTTTAAAGACATCTGTCTCACTGTGAAGTGTAACTCATTTTCCCAACAATAATAATAAAGTCCCAAACCAACACAAAAAACTTTTTTCGAAGTTCAGTAACTGAATAAACAAATGGACAAGTTTAAATAGTCAGTCAGTCAGCTACAACATAGGACCATGCACATACATGCATCGGCCAAAGTTGACACACCTCATTAGCACAACAAGATGAACATCAAATTCATGGTAATTAATTTGATTTGATTATTTATTTCTTCTCTGCCCTGGTACGGCCGAGAGTAGGGAGAGTCCACTCACCCTCTCGAAATGCTCTCACATAGTCACGCGTATATAGCCTCTGACAGGGAAGTTCTACTCACTGCCTTCTCGCACCACGGGTGTTGTTTACGAAATCGAGAGGACAAAAAGCGAATGTCAGGCGCTCTAATCGGGTTGGTGGACATGGAGAGTAAACCTAGGACAGTTGGAAAACCTGATTCTAAACCAATGGTGCACATGGGCTCCAGTATCCTGAGGGAACAAATGGCATATGAACCAATCGTTGGTCACCGGCTACCATGGAACTGCATCTCCTGACGATGCTCCACTGTCTTGTGGATCAGACCTTTTGGTCGAAGGCTCTGAGTGTGGCCCCCTAAGAAAACTACTTGTTTCAGTTTGTGCACCCGAGCAGTATCTTAGCCCTCGCACAAACCAAATGAGATTTGTTTGGCGCATAAGTATTTGGTGCCTCCTTGTACCAATATCTATATTTTCAAATAAAATAAAGTAAAATAGAAGTGGCTTACACTAAGTCACGAAAAGTCAGACAACCTAATTTTTCTACTCATTGAGATATTTACAAATATATTAACTTATTTATAACAATCTAACCAATGCTCAATTTATTCGAAATTATCAAGTCAAACCTTGGTAATGATACCTATAAACAAATGAACGTTTTATATGAGAGTGAGAGAGAACGAAGCCATACGCATTTTATCAGTTAGTTTATTGCCCCCAAACGCCCTGGTACGGCCGAGAGTGGGGAGAGTCCGCTCTCCCTCTCCAAATGCTCTCACATGGCCACGCGTGTATAGCCTTTGCCAGGGAAGTCCTACTCACTGCCTTCTCGTGGCGGGGGTGCTGTTTGCAAAAATGAGAGGACGAAAAGCGAATGTCCGGCGCTTTAACCGGACCCAAAACCAATGGTGCACATGGGCTGGCTCCAGTATCCTGAAGAAACAAATGGCGTATGAACCAATCGTTGGTCACCGGCTACCATGGGACTGCATCTCCTTACGATGCTCCACTGCCTTGTGGGTCAGACGTTCAGGTCGAAGGCTCGGGGTGTGGCCCCCTAAGAAAACCACCTGCTTCGGTTTGGGCACCCGGGCAGTATCACAGCCCTCACACAAATCAATTGAGATTTGTGTGGCGCATATGTATTTGGTGCCTCCCTGTACCTATACTTATGTGTTAAAATAAATAAATAAATAAATAGTTAGTTTATTGATGTAAACAAAAATATACAAATTGGACAGAGTTATAGAATAAATATACAATAGCTTACCAGTTATAGGAAGAGCAGCTTCATCAGAAGTTTGAAATCTCCATCTTAATATACCAACTTCTTGACCATTTGGAAATGGTTTACCACCTGGTTTGATTTGAATCCAACCAGTGGACTAAACAAAAATTTGAGAATAATTAAGAGACAATATAATAAACAAAAATTAATATCTTGAAAACTTAATCAACAATACGTAAACTTTAAGATCCTGGTAGTTATTGTAGTCCTTTTTTGTAATTCACATTACATGGGACTTGAATCAAACACCTTAGGTAGATCGAAATCCAGTCTAACAATATCAACAAACGAGAGCATTTAAACTATTATTAAATAATCATATGAAAATCATACCAGTTGAACATGTTCGTGACTCAAATACATACCATACATAAAAGGCACATCAGAAACTACAACGAGACTCCTGAAACCCTTCAGAACAGGTGTTGCAAACAAACCAACAAAATCACTTCAATAAATCCTATGCAAACTAAAGGACGAAATGACAAAAGAAGAAAAACCGAACATTATCTACAAAATAAATTGTTTCAACTGCGAAAAACACTACATCGGACAAGGCGGACCCCTCTTCATCTTCACCTGAATGAACATCGATTAGCGGTCGAACGCGATGACACATCCGCAATTATATCAATGCACGTGGACACATTCGACTGGGAAAATGTTGAAATCATGGATAAAGACAATGCTAAAAGCACCAGAGAATTTTTAGAAGCTTGGAACTCAAGTCAATCAGCAATCAACAAACACATTGAAATCGATCCAATTTATCAACCAATCAGAAAAATTATGGACAAATATATGAACAAAAATTAAATCGATGAGAGATACAACCAAAATAAAGAAGCAAATAATGACAGGTTAAAGGTCAACAAGCAAGGTCTACACGACAGGCTGTGAGCCATATGTGGAGAAGTTTGAACGCTTCACTTACACCTGAAGTTTATGCTGATGATGTCGTACAGAATAGTGATGAAAGCTCCATGACCAAACCATCCAGCTCAGAGAACAAAACTCCATCATAAGCAAGCATATGTAGGAATAGAATACTTATCTTTTAGGCAAATTAATCCGTGAGTTGTAATGTTAAGGTTGGAAGTCTAAGACCTGTGTACGAATTCGCCCACAAATGCCCTGGTACAGCTGAAGGTGGTGGGACTCTGCTCTTCTCTAAATGCTCTCACATCCCCACCCATATACAGCTACCTCTAAGGAAGGTTTACTAACTGCCGTTTCGTACCCTAAGTTTTTTATCAAATTGAAAGGACAAAGGCGAATGTCCGACGAAGGCCTAGAACCGGTTGATGGGTACTGAGGATTAACCTAAAGGAGTTGGACAACCCCTATTATAGACCAGTGGTGCATATGGGCTGATTGAATAAATGGCGTATGAGCCCACTGTTCGTCACCGGTTACCATGAGACCGCATCTCCTAACGTTGCTCCATTGCCTTATGGATTAGACCTCTAAGTCAAAGACTCAGTGAGTGGGTTTCGTAGAAAACCACCTGCTTCTGCGCGCACAACCGGGCAATATTCTGGTCCATGCACTAACCCAATGGTTTGTGTGTTGCATAAATATTTTGGTCCCTTTGTACCAATACTTACGCGTTTAAATAAATAAATATACGACATAAATCACGTTTATAATACAAGCTGCAGACCACTTTTTACTTGTAAATATGATTAAAATAATTTAACTACACTAGTCGAAACAATGAATCACAGTATGAATATGTAGGAAAGGACATCCATAATTACAAATGAATAAGGAATAGACATAGTGCTATTTAAAGTTTATGTTTCATAAATCTTTTATCGAATCACTTGACAGGAAATATGAAACTAGTAAACGACTCCCAATTAGTCAGTATGAAGAAATTAAACACATGGATACCAAATTATTGGTTGCATGATGAGGTGCTAACTGTAGGATATTACAGTTCTTGGGTTAATCAAATTTAGTCTGGAAGCCTCTAACTCATTAGAGAGTGAATGACTTTCAAAACTGATGTTTTCCAACCATTTATGATATTTAACCACGTTTGTTCTGTGTCAATATTTTGTAGATGTTATTTTATTATACAGAATAGCTATACTACAAAGCAACTGTCTTCTCTTCACTGGGATCTTACCTCAATAATTCGATCTCATGAGCAGTTGTCATTTAGGTACATAGTATCATTGCATAACTTCTACCGATCGGCATTATATTCATTCACCGTAACAATTCAAAACTCACTTACTTGTCAAATCCAAACTTATAACAGAATGTAATGATGAAACCTCTAGGTTGGTGGACTAAAGTGAGTAACTACCATCGATAGTCCACAATCGTGTACTTCAAATCAATCAACAACTGAATGGTTTCTGTGGGTAAAAATATTTTTACCACCCCATGCAAAGTAAATCCATATGTTCAAGCATAATTTACCATAGTATCAAGTCGTTTACATTGAAATACTATTTGAGTATTATAAAGAAAGAACTCACTGTGAAAGTTTTCTTATCAATATTAGGATGTGTTTGAAGTTGAACAGGTGGCCGATGTTCATTAGGCGGATTTGTACACATACTTGTATCCACTCTGATTTTCGCTTCACAAGCTTCATTTGTGATAGCTTGTGCAAACATTGTACCTTGCAATTCCATACTTTCTAAACCACCATCACGACCAGCTTGAACGATTAACTTTTCCTCAATTCGTAAATGCAGACTAAAAAAACAATGTGTAGGAAAAAAACATATCGATTACTTGCTATTGAAATGTGTAAACGTATGGTTGAAAAAAATGACTTGAAAATGCAAATAAAAAATATTAAGCCATACCACTACTGAAACGATTCAGCTTCGTTACGAACCTATAATATAAGAATTGTAGACAGTAGATGGTTACTTAGTGGTAGGTATTGAACAAAAGTTTATGCTTCCTTACAGTTAAGGCGGATACATAAGCCAAGAAATTTTAAGAAACATAATAGTTGTGACAATCAAGTGAAGCTTTACGCTGGAATACTCTTCTAAGTTGAACTGTATCATAATTCTTACACTCATATGTTTTAGGATACAATTAAAACTAATCATGAATTACCATTTTGTCATATATTTCTATCCCTCATTGAACAACTCTGACATCTACAAGCGCATAATTATTCCACTGAGTACCTAGCTGTTGCTACAGATATTCGAGAAAAAAAGACCAAACCAAGATGCAGCATCACTTAATGAAGTCATTGACAATTAGTTTGTGTGGTATCGGATGATGCAAACTGTTTGGTTGGTATTATTTAAATGTGCATAATCTATAAGTCAAAAAACGGAATAGCATGTTCCAAAATCAGTTGCAGGAACTTGCATTCCGTTCTAATCTGATTCTGAATCTAGTATATAACATAGTCCAGTACTCAGTTTCACGATTTTGTTTGCTTCCCAAATGTCCACCACTATTATTACAAGATAACTAATTAGTCTTCTTGAAATGTACCGGTATAAAGTGAGATTAGTTAGATTATTGTACGTTTGTCCCAGGTCCTCTATGCTTTATAGATGAAAGAATATGCTTCAGTGCCAACTTGATTGTACTTGTAAGATATTAATACTTTTAAACTAATGCATGCAGAAAATGAATATAAATAAATGTTTACTTTTCTTTGAACCATAAACATGTTTATTCGACAGGATAATTCTTATTAGACTCTAAAGCATACGACTTACTTTTCTTTTTTAACATGAGGTTTTTGAGTTAAAGCAGAAGTTGAATTAGTACTCATTACGTTATCTGCTCCGCCTGATCCGCTAACTAAATTCATAACATCATTGACCACTTCACCTTCGGCTTTCAGACGATTCACAAACTGATCAATGCTTTTTAAACCACCCTGGCCACCACCAAGTTGCATACCACTTCGTTTCACTGATGCTAAGATAGTTGCTGTATTTGTAGTAGGCAAACTTTGAACATCCGTATTTCCATCTCCCAAACGATCTTTCATGACGATTACACGAGGTTCATCTATTGATAACACGGTACGAACATACACATAGAAATCAGCCATGAGAACGGTTTTTCTATTTTAAAAGTTTTGCAATTTAATTTAATAGTTCGACAAACCTCACAAACAGGTAAATGTTGTACTATGTTACATTAAAAAAATTTTTAGTAAAAGGAAAATATGTGAGAAAACCTAACATAGCTTTAAATGCTTATATAGCATAGCCCCGAAATGCCCTGATATGGTCGGGTGTGGGGAGAATCAGCTCTCCCTCTCCAAATGCTCTCACATGGACACGCGTATACAACCACGGTCACGCAAGTCCTACTCAATGCCTTCTAGAACTACGGGTGTTGTGTACAAAATCAAGAGGACGAAAAGTGAATGTCCGATGCTTTAACCGGGTTGGTAGATATGAAGGATTCATCTAAGGGAGTTGTAAAATCTTGATTACAAACCAATAATGCACATTGACTTCATGATTCTGAGGGAACAAATGGTGTATGAACCTATTGTTGGCCACCGTCTACCATGGGACTGCTTCTACTAACGTTGCTCCACTGACTTGTGAATTAGACCTCCAGGTAAAGGGCTCTGGGCGTGACCCCTACGTAAACCAACTGCTTCGGTTCGGGCACCTGGGCAGTATCACAGCCCTCACACATATCAGTGATAACTGCCAATGACCTCATTATTATTGTGTGGTGCATATGTATTTGGTGCCCACTTGTACCGATGTTTATGTGTTCAAATAAATAAATAAATAAATAAATAAATAAATAAATAAATAAATAAATAAATAATAAAACGAAAAATCAGAAACGAGAATTTCTCTAGTCTAACCCGTTTAGTTGTATTATGATAAATACTCACCCAGATTCTAGTGAAAATATGGTAACATCGATACTTATCCGCCCAAACTAATAAGAAATGCAAAGTGAATCATATTTGTAACAAGAAATCCGATAGGAACTAGATATTTATTATACCTGTAACTAGTAATCTATCAGTAACAGGTTTGTTTAAACATTCTAAACACTCATGTACAACAATCTCACAAAATAAGTCGGCCTGAAAGTATTTAACTGACACATTTAATGCTTATCGAGTTTACTAGCTGCTTTCCTTCATATCATAAATGTGCAATGACGGACTATACTGTAAATGAATGGCCAGTATTAGCAATAACTGTCTCCGTTGAATGAATCAGCATTTTTAATATCATAAAACAGTGGCCACTTTGGAAATGGTAAGCTGTAGAATATCAAATCAGTAACTGGTCACAATATTGGGGTAGTAGATTTTAAAAGCTTATAATAACTTGCATGCAAATTTTGCACTTAAGTGTAAATATTCCAACTAAACCTTGCATTCTACTTAACTACCAATTTGTAACACATAAAGTACGGTGCGGTAAGAAAATGTGGCAGTACCAAGCTTCAAACCAATACTCAATAGGTTCGAACCCCGCACCATGTAATCTGGTTTGAGCACCTACGTAATATAATAACCTCTCACATAAAGAAAGCGTAAACAAGTACACTAACTTGTACTTGAAAAGCGAGTTGCGTAAACAACACGATATAGATGCTACGAATCAAAAGAAATATGTAAGAAAATCATACGGTAAGTGGATAAACCACTTAAGAAAACATGAGAAAGGTAACCACCTTAAAATTTTGACATATAAGAAGACAATATTTTACTCCCATTACAATCCAAATAAATACAGGAAAGCGTACTTAAATCATTTGACAGACCACCCATTCCTTTCCCACCACGATAATTAGAGAATCCTGAAAGATTCATACCACCTGAGCGTTTCCCAGCTTCTAGTCGAGCTTGTTGTAGTTCACGTGCTCTCTGTTTCATTTGCTCTTTAGCATCACGTTCTTTGTTCTAAATAGCAACAAATGAAAATGAGTTTGAAAAAGATTAGAAAAATCAAAAACAAAATTACTAGCTGAAGTATGTCTCCAAATTCAACGGAAAAATGTGAACCTTAGTGACATTACTAGTACAAAAATGAAGGAATAGACGAGTTTGTGACAATGTAAAGCTCAAAAGAAGTTTTTTTAAAAATAAACAGAAATATCCCCAGACGGAGTGATTGGGAACATACCTCCTGTACAGCACGGAACACGCGTTCATCATGTGAGTCCATTTCCGTATATGTTCGAATTTGTGACAAGTTAACATCTTCTCTATAGCCTAGAGCTATGATTTCATCAAATGCGAAAATAAGTTGGAAAGCATGTGTCAGTACATCGTTTTCATCGGTACCACAAGCATACTCCGGTATCTATATGTACAAGAAAAGAATATCTAATTAAAGAGAACATTAAAAATAGAATGATCAGTGAGAATATTTCCTAAACGTACCACACGTGCAAAAAGCCTTAATGTCTCCAAATCTTCGAGTATATTGCTAGCTTTGGTAGTTATCAGAAGAACGTACAATTTCTCCAAAGGTTGGTAAACATACCGCACAGATTCTGTTTCCACAAATGTATGTTGTTTACCTAGAAGGCAAAAAATATAAGCAATAACGGTCCTGATGAGCTAAGAATTTGATATGTCCATGATTTAAATAGATAAACACCGTAGGGTTTCATAAGTAGAAAAGTCCTCAGGCTTAAAACCACGTTTCTTCAGTGCAAATACTGAGTCAATACTATCTATGGGGAGTAAGATAATACATAAACGCAGCTGGGTGATGCGGCAAATACAAAAACGAGAACCAGTAAGTACAATAAGGAAGGCTTATGTCCTTAAAGAAAGTGGAATTCGAACCACGAATTCTTTAGTCTCTAACAGCTTTATGGTATCTTGATAAAGAAAGCACTGAGCACGTACAATTTTGCTACTCATACGAAAAATCTATTTTCAGCTGACAACTACAGTTTATTAATCCCACCCCACTAGCGTAACAGGTATGTTATAAAAACTTTGTAAATTTACACGTTCACATTCCCGAAAAAGATAAACTAATTGGAAATAAATGATGTCGATTAATCACCGTACACCTGGCTCATACAATCACAAATTCAGGTATATCAACTAAGGAATCTACTGAACGAGTGGATTATTCACTGAGTCATGTTAGACAGTCGATACAAAACCCAATCAGATTTTGGGACGACAAAGTATTTCAGACGATATTTTTACGTTAGTTTTCCGTTTCAAAGAAAAGCGATTAGGCCAAGTCACATTAGTACGCCAACTAGAATTATAAGTCCTGTTCTGCATAAACTTTTCGTATATTAACGAGGATCACTAATAGGTAATTTTGAGTCAAGCATTTATAAACACTGAACAACAGCACCTTTAACTGAGTACATAGATCTTTGCATTTATTAACTGACTGACAATATTTGTATAGCAACCAGAAAACAGTTAAATTATATGACAAAAGTCTGAGTACGTTTGGAGATGAAGAGAAATCACCTTACATTTATTGAGCACAACACATGAACAAGAAATAGGAGTCTTCGAGAAATAAAGAGTGAAAACTAACCTGTCCCAAGAAGCTTTGGAAAGGTGGCTATTAATCCTTCAATTCTTGCCTTTGTCATTTCCACAAACTGTCGAGACACCAAAGCTTAATAGATTAAATGTAAATTCACACTATGAACATACCTTTACCATCACGAGTACACACAGAGGCAGCCAGCAGAACCTTAATTTTTTGGTGCTACATAAGAGACAACTCACCATCGCGCCAACCTGTCACGTTTGTAATTAGCCGCTTCGTACCTCCAATATCCAATCTACATTTCTTGGAAACTTTCAAGTAGTTCAAATGATTGTGGACAGAATAGAAGAAGCTTTCCCTTACCGGGCTTACGTGTCTATTAGCAATGGATCACCATTACCTCCAGGCAGAAACCTAGGTATCCAGTCATACGAGTATAAGTAGCGAATTTGAAATCCTACTCAAGTAACTTCTGAGTTCGATGAATAGATCGCCTTAACTTCATGACTTTGTAATTTTCAGTTATTACTGATTGCTTTTATTATTAAATGCACGTACGTGCTATATCATTACTCAGTTTAGGGATTACTCCTTTACTTGCTTTTCTTTCCTTTAGGTTCTTTCGTATGCGTTGGTATGGGACTAGTACTATACGTACCCTGAGGCTATGTCCGAACCTCGACATGTTCGGATCTTATCGGCAGACCTGATCTAAGGCGATTATAGTGGTCTTGTAGAGTAGTACATTACAATAAGACAAATGACCAAGCGGTTCAACAGTTTTTCGACAGGATGAAAGAAACTTTCGCCCAACTGGCTCTCGTGTCTGATACCAATTGCTTCAGACAGGGACTTAGATATTTGAAACAAGCAAGAATAAAAGAAACAATAATGGATTAGAAAGAGATGCTGACTCTGAGTCCTTTGGAATAAATAAAGGTTTCGATTGAAAAACTTTATGGAAGTTGTAGTGGGTTTTGAAGACTTGACCACATATAAAAAGTAGAAGGCGCACCTGTAATCCAATGTGCTGTGCTGCACTATTACTTCTATATAGTAAGTGTTTCATTTAAAGATTGCGTTTGGATTAAACCTGGGAAATTGTTTAAAAGCAGTCACACATATAGCTATGATGCTCTAGATCATTACGATTTCAGCTATTAAAATCCCATATTCTATGAGGTGTAGTTTCATTTAGTTTGCGCTTTTCTCAAAGTAAGACCTTTGGGCCACGAGCTTATTTTGTACCTCACATTTAAACAATATCTAAGATATTCTGATCCTAATGGATAGGATAAATTACTATGTAACTCAACAACTTGTAGGTCCGAGCAAACCGATAAAAATGTTTTCGATGGGCAGCTTAATCTCAAATGAAATACTCAATCTTAGTAATGGGCTGAAGTAAATTAATTGAATACTTTGAATGAACGGCCCAATTTGACAAAAAATTCACGTTTGTGATGGACCCTGTTATATTAAAGCCGGAAAACCATCCAAAGTAGCCTAAGTGCATTTTAGAAGTCATTATATTTTTTGGGCACGTGGTTGAATAGGTTTGCATTTTCTTGACAATGGTCATAAACATAGTATTCACCGAAAGTAAGAGTACGTTTTCTTTGAGTGCTCAGGATACGGACACTTTCGTCTCGCACCACTCCATAAATTTGTAGTGTTTTCGTACCAAATCTCAGTGCCAGAAGGCACCGAAGACATGAGAAGTGCATGTAGAGCCGCTTTTCATTCTATTAGACTGTCCAGTTAACCCATGTTAACACGACACAAAACGGATATTAATTCATCCGTTCGGGGATTTCGGCAGGTAATCTCGCGATGACCGAAAAATTCGCAGCTCGCTCGGTGACGCTACAATATGGGTAAAGCTAAGACAACATGGAACTCTGTTGGTTAAATAACTACATCTTAGGCAAGAACTCTCTTAAGGTCAATGATGTATTTTTAAAGATTTCCCTTCCTTAGCTTAGATTAGGGAGAAAGATCAAATTGTCACTGAATTTTATCTTTAAAGATAGAACTTTCAGTTGCATGTTTGTCAAAGGTTACTAAATGGTTAAATACGTATCTCCCAGGATAGATAAGAAATTTATGTTGTGTTTCTTTGATCTTTAAAATTTTATTGTAATTTGATGTTAATTTTTGCGTACGTTTGTCAATAAATGTGGTAACACATTTGGTTATTGACATCAGAAGTTCCAAAAGGAGCCAGTGAGATTCACTTGGGCTATGAAATGGCAATAATAATGACAGAAAAGGGGGAGAATCCAACGATCACAAAGTGAGCCTGTCCAAGCATCATACTCCGAACATCAGAACCTATGAGACTTAAATAACTCAAGTTCTTTTTTATATTCTTTTACCAGCAATAACCACAGAAAGCGATCTAAACAAATCAAATGGGTGAATCTGTTGAATTAGGTCTAGGTTCATTATCAATACTGCTATAATGATAGACCTAATCCTAAAATTGTAGATCTGTCATAACGTAACTGCCTAATCTACAACATCATACGTGGAAGTCATATCATTGTCTTTGTAGAATTATGGTCTACTATGATATTAGCACTGCTCTAATAATAGACCTAATCCTAAAATTGTAGATTTATCATGATGTAACTGCCTAATCTATAAGATCTTACGTGGAAGTTACATCATCGTCTACACCGATTCATTGCATTGTAACAATTACCAATACGTGATAGAGAACGAGCTTAGGCTAGAGATAGAATATATTTAATATGAATAGAAGACACAAGATAACATTCAGATGAGACCACGCCTGCAAGGCCGAGCTATGCCATCCGATCAACTCGGACTAATTCAATTTATTATTCCCGCCTTCTCCATTCTTCTGTATTTCTCCGCGTTAAATGTTTAATGTATATTTCTCATATTGTCTCGTGGTAGGGCCCAATGCCACTACATCTTCACTGACTCATCGAATCGTAGCAATCACCAATATATGATGGACAACACATTCAGATTGGAGATCGAACAATATATTGAGTATGAGTAATTAATTCAATTCATTGTTTCCGCCTTCTCATGGTTGTTCTTTCTCCGTGTTAAATGCTGAATACCTATTTATTCGATCGGCCTGTGTTCAGTTTTGAGGATTGTGTGATTAGGGACTATTTCCATCACAATACCATTTGGCAGATCCATCATCGCCTATCCTGACTCGTCGTATCGTAGGAGTCAACAATATGACGTCTAGAGCTTTTGAAGAACACATTTGGGCTAAGGATAGAATAGTATATTTAATGTAAGTAAAGACAAGTTATACAGAATGACTACGTACTGCGAAGCTTGGCCATGCCATCTGATTGGATGAATGTTTCCGCGTTCACAATTATTCCATGCTAAATGTTGAATATCTATTTTTCCAGTTATCTCATGTTCGGCCTCGAGGAATGTGCGGTCAGGACCACGGGGGCGTTTTTGGTGGCTGGTACTTTGTTAAGGCCATACAGTTTACCCTAGCTTCTGGACAGAGCAATGTATTGATTATTCCCAAGCCGCATTTTGAGCTTGTCAATTATTCGCTTATTAATCATGACTATTTTTATATGATTATATTTATTTTGATTACTTGCCCTATTCATCACGTGTCTGCAACTTATTTTTATCTGAATATCAATATTGAGTCACACCTGATCAAATTGAGTTGACTCGCTGGCCTTCTCCACTGGGAGTCACTTCATTTCGCTTCACTTTCTCCACTTCGTTTCCGTGATTGTCTATCCAGACCAATGAATGTATGAAATATGTGTATTCAAACTTCATTATAGTATTCGACTTATTTTACCACGTTATTCTCTAACGCTAATTAAGCTGTTAAATGTATTCAAGGATTTTCGGTATGTATACTTTGATTATATACATTATGTGATTTAACTGGAGTCAGATATAGGGAAACTAAACATGTACATACTGAAGAGAGAGAGAAATCTCTTAGAACATGTATAAAGGAGGGAAATAGAGCTGTTTTAAAAAATAAACAAACTTAGAGAATGTTTAGTCAGTGAGCAATTAAGTAGAAAGGAATCATTAATTCGTACAAATAACTTAAATATTTTTCAGTGAACATCTCGCGATGCATTGAAAACTTTAAATAGTACACTGTAACAGAACGATTTTAGGTTATTTTCCAAGAGAAGTTTGGTGTGCATCTTAATGTGAACATATAAGCGTATAAGATATATACGGTAGAATTAGTTTTATCAAGGTAAGTTTCCCGATATGATTGTCTTAATTTAAATTTTATTAGCTAGAATTCAAAAGAACGTATATTAAGCTATTTTACTACAGTGGTGAAAGGATAGTTACTATTATTCGTTAGGGTTTTTGACAGTCTGATGATTACAGCCTACTTCGTATTTTTTTAACGTGTATGAATTCTGATCTTCGCATACTTCATTATCTCAGTAGTATACCGATTTTAAAAATACATGCTTACTAATTTCAAACGTGTCTTGAATTTCAAGATATCTTGCATAACACCATGTTTAATAGAGCTCTAATAAGGGCTCACTAGTCAATAATGTGAATAATAAATATGATTAATTAGTTCAAATAAATGATGTTTACAAAAATTGTTAAAGTCATCTACACAGTTGATAAAATAAATAACAAATGAATGCTTAACTAAAACATATTCATTTACATTGGTTCAGGAAATTATAATCGTTGTATGCATTCAACGAAAGAGAAATCACAAATTTGTATAAATGTCTTCAAATAGCTAAGAATGGAAAGTCGATAAACATTAAAAAATGTCCTGGTACGGCCGAGAGCGGGGTGAATCAGATCTCCGCCTCGAAATGCTCTCACATGGCTACGTGCGTGTAACCACTGTCAGGGAAATTCTACTCACTGCCTTCTCGAACCACAGGTGTTTACGAAATTGAGAGGATGAAAAGTGATTGTTTGGTGTTTTAACCGGGTTGATAGATATAAGGGATCCATCCAGGGTAGTCGGAAAACCCTCATTCGAAACCAATGGTACACATGGGCTCCAGGATCCTGAAGGAACAAAGGGTGTATGAACCAATCGTTTGTCTGCGACTAACATGGGACTACATCTCCTTACCTTGCTCCACTGCCTTGTGGACTAGACGTTTAGGTCGGAGGCCCGTGGTGTGCCCCCGTAAGAAAGCCACTTGCTCCAGTTCGGGCACCCGGGCAGTATCCCAGACGTCACACAAATCGAATGGTGAAATATGGAGCATATCTATTTGATGCCCCCTTGTACCAATGTTTATGTG